GTGTGTGTGTGTGTGTGCGCGCTCGTGTGAGAGACAGAGAAACCCATATGAGATTGAAACTGGGAAAATTTACACTGGCTAATTGTAATTGCTCTATCTGAATTTTGCCCAGGAAGGAGTTGTCACTGCACGAGCATGTTTCAAACCTTTTCATGAAGCACCAGCAGCTTGTTAACCACTTACTCTAGGAGAACAAACACTGGGGAGCAAAAAATACAGGGCTGTTTGTCTGTGACACGAAGTGTTGCTTTTGCCTTCCCATCAGTAAGTGCTGTCACTTGTGCCAAAGTAATCAAGAGCTTGACATAAATCTTGCAGTAATTAAATCTTTTATTCTCAATGCGCTGCCTAAGCAGCAGTGGGAAGAGGGGGTCTCAGGGGTAGCTTGGGAGCAGATATCAGCCACCAAGCTGTCTCTCTGGATCACTTGCTTACATTTGCAGTGTCTGCTTGACGTTTCCATCAGACTTTTCCTATTATGATCACTTGTCTCCATTCTTATTTTTATGCTTTCTGATGTGACGCCAAGAACAGCTGTGCCAGCTGGGGAGCGGGAGCCCTGTCACCCTGAGACTTCCTATGTCCCAAGCCCAGGGAATCCTTGGAAGTGCGGAATTAGCTTTTCTCATTTTTGACATATGTTTTTACATTTGCCTTTTACTGCCAGGCTCCAGTCAGCACTGGAGATGTAAGTGTCAAGATGGTCAGCCTTTGTGCTGCATCCAGCATGACTGCCAACAGGAAAAAGCACAAACCTCAACAGAGGATATGTTGTTGCAAGACCATTAACCAAGTCTTGGAGCCCAAAGTCCTTTAGCAGCACTTTGGCCCTGGAGTGGAATTGTGTTTATCTGAAGCAGGCTTTCAGTCGCAGGGTGTCTTTTGGCAAATGATGTCTGCTTAACTCCAAACATTTTGAATGGCTCTATTTAGGAGCCCAGAATTGCTCATAGCAATGGGGTTTGGGGATATCAGTGAAAACAGCTTCCTGATAGATTAGATAACATGAAAAAATATGAGGGGAAAATAAAAGCTGTAGCCATAAGCTACAGCCACATGATAAAACAAGGTTGTTATTTTCCCATATAAAGTAGTTATCTTACTCTCTCTCCCTCCATTGCTCACACATGAATCCACAGACAAATGCACACTTGAATGGGCTCTCTCGCTGGCCACTAGCCAGCCCTCCTCATAACATCTTTGTTGGTGTGTTTGCTGGTACTTCTCCATACCAACTACATTCTTGAATCCTTAGAAAAGCTCTGGATTGTATAACTAATGCCTGTGGCCCAGTTGCTATGCTTGTGTCTGCTTCCCTGCAGCCTGTCAGGATAACACATATGGAGAGAACTGCAGTCAGTTATGCAGCTGCTTCAACAATGCTTCCTGTGACCCCACGAGTGGGCAGTGTCTCTGTGCAGCTGGATGGACAGGAGCCACTTGCCAGCAAGGTAAGAGCAGCATACATTTGCTCTTTAATTCAGGATGTCCCTTGTTCTTGTCCTGAGGAACAAAGACTTGCCTTTGAGGAAGCAAACTGCCAAGCCTTTGTGGAATTTGTAGAGTGGGGATATCCAAGCTTCAGATCAGCCAACCACTCTGCTTGGGGTTGTAGTTTGGATGACCTTGGCAGCTGGAGGTACCAAGTGCTTAGTGAAATCACATCGGCTTGTGCAGCACGTGTCAGTCCATCCATGATGGCACATGCCAAGTAGCTGACAGCCATAGCCAGTTGCACTGGCTAATGGTTTTATAACAGAACTCTATCAGACTTAGTGCTGTAGCCCACTAAGCACTCAGGCCCTCTGCCAACAAAGCTCGCCAGGCCAAGGCAGTAGGTCTGTGAGGCCTGTGCCTTAAGTGCTTTTTCTGGATCAGGGCCTTGCTGGGTGAAGCACTATATGGACTTTAGGTACTGCATGTAATCTGTTTACCAGAATGCTAGGCTGGGCACAGAGAAGCTGTGTTTCCATCTGAGTGGTGATGTGACTCTTGGATAGCAAGTTTTCCTAGTGGCATTGCCCTGGTTTGCAAGAGCCAGATATTCTTCAGGCTGAGACTGAGGGCATCCGCTGCCCATTTAACAGCATTTGTGAATACAACATTCATGCTACTTTTGTTTTACGTTCAATATTGCCAAGCTCCCCAGGGCACCCAAGTCACATGTATGCATTCCATGCCATTGAGTGTCTTACGCCCCTCATTCCCACTGATTCCACTAGCCTTGTTTGAGTGATGGACCTCCAGGAACGAGGGAGCCTCTTCCTTGACAGTTCTCATCTCTGTTAGTTTCTTCATGGCCCATGACCAGATCTGTTAGTGCTGGTGCTAAGCCCAGCTTGGGCCTTCCCAGCTCATCTCCTTTGCACCGGAGCATAAAGTAACAAGCACAGGGCTGTGGACCTCACTGCAGGGTGTGGAAGGAGATGACAAACATCTCTGCTAGCAGCCCTGCCATGGCAGGAGAGTGCAGGCCGAAGGTAGCTCAGTGTCAGTGCTCTTTTCGTCCAAGTGTACTGTTATGAAAGACTCCCTCCTTAGCTTGGCCTGTGGAAAAGCCAAGCTCATAGCAGCCTCTGCTGAGTTTCATTTAGCTGGTGAGTGAATTAAAAAGCATGTTATTCAGTAACTGAGCCAAAACCACCTTCCTGGCTCCAGTCAGTTATAAATCTCCAATACTCCAACATGCTTTTAATGCCATGTCTTTCTGAGACTTTCCCCAAGCTCCCTGGATGGCATGCCAGGATTTATGTACATCCCCACCTTCACTATTCTGGGTCCCTGGTGCCATTTTGCTGAGTCCTGTCCTCATTAATCAGAGAAGAGATTCTTTAAAAGAAACTTGAAGGGCAGAATGGAAAGGGCAGGGAAGCCAGACTGGACTTCCAGTCAGGGTTGCATGAGAGATCCTGTCTCACAGTCAAAGGGCTCCACATGGGAAAGTAGTTTGAGCTTTGCTTCTGCAAAGACAGCTGGGACTACTACACCCTGTCCTTCATCCCTCAGATGTTTACTCCACTCTCTCCCCTCCCTGTTCCACTGGATAACTCAAGGAGGCTCCATGTCATAGACCCAGTGAGGAAAGAACAATGATGCAAGAGTGAGCTCTCTGGCAAACACTCAGGCCACTGTCACAACCCCAATCTATATACATCCAGGCCTGCTGTCCCCTGGCCTGTCCAAGGTAGATGGGCCATGGGTACGTCTATAATTGATGGAGCTGATCCCTCCTCAGTTCCATCCTGGACTCCCTACTAGGTAAAAGGAAGCCTCAAGCAGAGCTCAGGAAATCAGGGCACAAGGTGGGTAAATGAGGAGCCCTGGTAAAGCTCTCAGACGAGGGGGACAAATCCAGCATACCTTTAATTTCTGTGGCCTATGCACTGCTGTGGTGTTTGCTTCCCTCCCCAGCGCAGTGCCTTTGGCATGAAGCGCTTTGTCTGAAAAGCTTATATGATAAAGTCTACTGGTGTGGCAGCACAGTCTGGAATCTAGGACTTACTGGGTCATTTTCTTGCCACTAGCTACAGTAATTTAATTTTGCGTATGGCTTCTGCCTCCCAACCCCCACATGC